TGGGAGGCAGCAGGCACAGGGCTTCCTGACGGCTGGCCCTCCACATCGTGTTACCCGGGAGTCACGTGGTCGGAGGCCTTCGAGGGCTACTCAATGCTTTGGGGGCCAGTGCTGGGTCTTTCCAGGTCCCCATGTTAGGAATGCAGCAGGAATGACCAGCCTCGTCTTTCCCAGCAGCGGCCTCTTGACCCCATTCTTTCTGGTCCTTCCTGTTTCCTAACAGGGTGCTCTAAGGATTGTGCCCTCCCCCTGCCTGTGGTCCTCTGTAAGCAGCATAAAGGAAGCACACGGGCAGCTCCTCACGGGTGTTTGTCAAGGCAGGTGGGAACTGGTGGGAGACTGCAGGTTCTGGGCTGGCTGCGGCTGCCGAAGGCTGGCTGCGTTTCAGTCCTGCTGCTTTGCCCACCCTCATCCTCACTCTGCTTGTGGTCGAGACCGCTCCCTGACCTCGCCTGTCACCTCCAGGCCTGGCAGAGATGTCCTCGTTTCCAGTTCAGAAGGGTAGAGCCCTCAGCAGGGGAACAGCTTCCTCTCTGACCTCATGGAATCTGCCCTGGTTTCTGATTAGCGAAGAGGAAAGACAGTTTTCGAATTTGACTCCTATATCCTGAGGCTGCTTAATTTTCTGCAGTAGATTAATTAGGGTTTATGGCCTCAGGAAGACTCTCTCTGCTCTCAGGTTTCCTCTTCGGATTTGGACATGTGATCTGTGGTGTGAGTGGCCTAAGCACCATGGAGAAGCTGTCCGTTTTCTCTCTTTGGGCCTTTCCTCGTCAGTTAGACAGAGGACAGCGGTTCTTGGCACTGGCTCTTCCTTAGAACAGCTGGAGGACTTTGGGAGAAAGCTGCCTGTTATCAGGGCAGGACTGGCTGGCAGCACGGTGGCAAAATGTGACACTTTGTAAAGTGATACGGTGTGGGAAGACTTGTCACCCTGAGTATTCTGGGTAATGCGAGGCTGTGAATCGTGGCATCAAGATCCTTTTGGAGGTGCTGCATCTCTGTCTCTCCCTCGTGGAATAAATAAATACGTTAAAAAGTTAATTGTGGGACCAGCAGTTAGTGTAATGGCTATGTCGCTGCACTCCCATGTAGTCGACCGTGGTTCGCATCCCGGACCCGGTGGCTTGAAACTCACGCTGGGCGCATGTGCGTGCGTGCCCAAGATCCTGAGAGGAGAATGGAAGAGAAGGGATTGCGGCGTGACCATCCCCTCTGGGGGTGATTTCTCGCTTTCTATCTCTCTGTCTCTGTCTGGTGAGCGCACGCGCCCTATAGCAAAAACCTCTTAAAAAAAAAAAGTTAACTGTTACAGGGACCAGCAGTTGGCATAATGACTATGTCGCTGGACTCCCACGTAGTCGACCGCAGTTCGTGTCCCGGACCCGGTGGCTTAAAACTCACGCCGGACGCGTGTGTGTGTGTGTGTGTGCCCAAGATCCCGAGAGGAGAAGGGAGAAGGGATTGTGGCGTGGCCATCCCCCTAGGGGGGATTTCTTGCTTTCTGTCTCTATGTCTCTCTCTGTCTGTCTGGCAAGCGCACGCGCCCTATAGTAAAAACCTCTCCAAAAAAAAAAAAAAAAATTGGGGAACCAGCAGTTAGTGTAATGGCTATGTCGCTGCACTCCCATGTAGTCGACCGTGGTTCGCATCCCGGACCCGGTGGCTTGAAACTCACGCTGGGCGCATGTGCGTGCGTGCCCAAGATCCCGAGAGGAGAAGGGAGAAGGGATTGTGGCGTGGCCATCCCCCTAGGGGGGATTTCTTGCTTTCTGTCTCTATGTCTCTCTCTGTCTGTCTGGCAAGCGCACGCGCCCTATAGTAAAAACCTCTCCAAAAAAAGAAAATTCTACTCTGATACATGTGTATGCTTTTGGGGACCAGCAAGTAGCATTGTGGTTAATGTGCTGGACACTCCCGCATGGCCTACCTACCATGGTTTGAATCTCATGCCTGGTGGCTTGCTCTCTCCCTTTCCCTCTCTCTCTCTCTCTCTCTGTGTGTGTCTCTTTCTGGTCAAATTAAAATAAATTAATAAATAAAATTTTAAAATAAAATAAAAAATACCTTTAAAAAAAAGGTTAACTGTTACAATCTGCTAGAACCTAAACCCTAATCTAAACTTCATGAAGGCAAGAATTCTGGACTCTTCTCTTGCTGTATTCCCAGGGCCCGGTACAGTACAGGCACCCAGTAAATGTCTGTGAATTAGCCAGCAAAGACCAAAATGACGTCTTGGCCTCTTCTGTGGGGATTTTTTTTTTCTTCAGAGAAAAACTGTATTTACAATTGGATTCAAAAGCAGTTTTTAAAAGCAAACACAATTTAATACTGAGGATGAAAAGTCTGCTCACCCAAAGTTGCCAGGGCTAATGAATTATTAAAAGGGTACTGCATCGAAAGTAAGGCAATAACAAGAGAGAAGCCATTAAAGATTCTCCCACTCCCACAAGTGGATAGAACTAATCTATCTAGAGGCAGATGATATGTCGGTTTCAGCATGACTGAAACCCTTGAGGACAGAGCTGATGAAACGTGATCTGCGTTCTTCATTAGGCACTTTGAACATCTGAAGGAAAATCATTTCTAAAGCACAAAGAGGTATAATCTTTCAAAAAGATATTCAGTGTTAGGGGACCAGCAGTTAGCGTAATGGCTATGTCGCTGGACTCCCATGTAGTCAACTGCGGTTCAAGTCCCAGACCTGGTAGCTTAAATTCACACCTGGCGCGTGTGTGTGCATGCCCAAGATCCCGAGAGGAGAATGGAGGAGAAGGGATTGCGGCGTGGCCATCCCCCCCTGGGGAGTGATTTCTTGCTTTCTGTCTCTCTGTCTGTCTGGCAAGCACATGCACCTTATAGCGAAAAAAAAAAAAGATATTCAGTGTTCAAAATTCAAGAATGTAATAGCAGCACACAACGGGCATTAGGTGACTATATGCAAAAGTGATAGCAAATTAACTTATTCAATATTTTCTCCATTTCATATCATCAGGAGGGTTGATTTCAACTTTCCTTTTTCCTACATCAGACGAATTGGTACTCAGAACTGTACCACCAGACCCCATAAACGGTTTGTTCATGGCACGTTTCACGTCGTCAGAACCAGCTGAATCCATCTGCTGGAATAATTTGTTTAAAGCTGCATCTCCCTCCAGCTTCTCACTGTTTTCCTCTTCTCTGACCTCACCCACCGTTTTGTCCCTGTTTCTTGTACAGTGAGATGAGGGTGGGGATGGGTCCTTTACCTCTGCAATGGACCATCTTGGCTTAGGCACATCTCCTCGCCCTTCCAGCTTTTCCCATCTCACAGCCTCTGGTTTTGGTTTTTTTCTCATTTCAACTTCAATCTTTGTTGAAAGCACTTTAAATATGCTCTGTTCTGGTATTACAGGATAAGAAAGTCTCAATTTCAGATTGTAATCTCTCCAGAAGGAAGTTTGACCAGAGCAGGCAACTCTTTCTGCAAAGCCCATATTTACAGCACTCTTCTGAACGTTCTGCATCATAAGTGTGATGATTACTCGGGACTGCCCGATGCCAGCCATAGCAGACTCGACTGCTGCGTCTACTGGGACGCAGAGTGATTTGCCGGGTTCTGATCCACTCTGAGCATCTCGACACCTCTTCATTCAGACAGTGAAATCGGCATCTACACTATCTAATTTCTGTACTTCTTTCAGAGTTTCCAGAGCAGCAGCATAGACTTTTCATGGTATACACATGTCCCTTTTCTCAGCACAGCAGTGCGATTATTTGGATTGAGTTCAAGAGACTTCTTTGCATTGGCAATATCATCACAGTCATTCCCAAAAAGTGTGTGACAGTCTGCTCTCTGACAGTGACACTGTGCATCCCGTGATTTCTGCTCCAAGCCTTAGTCAGCTCCTCTAACGCCACCTGGGAGTTCGCGTTGATCAGAGCATCTGAAAAGCTCTGGCAAGACCTCTGGCTGGTGCAGGCCCTGCTGCAGTAGCCGCCATTCGGAAGAGTCACTGTTGCCGCTCCTGGAACTCTTACTACTCTTCTGCGGGGATTCTGATTTCATGGTCTGGGATAGGACCTCGACCTCTGTCTCTCTTTTTCTTTTTTTCTTTCTTTCTTTCTTTTTTATTTTTTTATTTTTTATTTTTTGAGAAGTTTTTGCTATAGGGCGCGTGCACTTGCCAGACAGAGACATAGAGACAGAAAGTGAGAAATTACCCCCCAGGGGGGGATGGTCACGCTGCAATCCCTTCTCATTCTCCTCTCGGGATCTTGGGCACGCACGCACACACACTTGGCGTGAGTTTTAAACCACCGGGTCCAGGACGCGAACCGCGGTTGACTACGTGGGAGTCCAGCGACATAGCCATTATGCTAACTGCTGGTTCCAGCCAGTCTTTGAGTTACGATTTTGGTCCTTTTTTTTTTCTCAGCAACTTGTCCCTGCTTTGCCTTTCCTGTAGCTTTCCAAGGAATCTCTTCAGTCTGCTGATGTCCTCCGAGAGGAAGCTTGTGAGATCTTGGATGAAATGAGTCACAAACTGCGTCTGGGAGCAATCCGGCTTTTTGCCTTCGCCCTCAGCAAAATATTCAAGCAGATTTTCTCGAAGGTGTGCGTAAATGAAGAAGGTATCCAGAAAGTGAGTATGCCGTTAAGCCGTCTCCAGCCCTTCCTGGTTTAGTCAGCTTGTGCATTTCCTGCGAGCAGCAGGTGCGGCGCCTCGTCGCCTGGCATGCTCTGGCCAGGAGAGTGTGTGCCTCTCCAGAGCACACCTGCTGATCTGTGTTTCCGGGGAACTGCAGACTTCAGACTTGAGGCTAACTGACCTAGCCCAGTGAGGCTTCTGGGTGAACGTGGTGTCCCGTGTTCACAGATGCTCCAGAGCAAGCAGAGCGTGGTCGTCTGCGCACCAGCTCCAGTGCCCTGCCGCGTGTCCTGCTTTTCTCCCCCAGCACCCCGTGTATTTTCTCCTAAATGCTAAGGACGTTCTCAAATATCATGGTACTGTTATCAAAGTAAAACCACTGCCGCTGTGGTCCTACCACAGGCACCACTCGTGCCCCACCGGCCGCCCCGCTGCAGCCTGCGGGAGAGCCCGCTCTGTGCTCCGTGCTGTCCGACCTGTCCGTGCCCTGCACCTCTGTGGGCACTTTAGTCTGGAACCATTCCTTCGCCTTTTTGTTTGTATCTCACGGTGTTGTTTTTTTTTAAAGAGGAGGCCAGTTACTTTATAGAGTCCCTTGGTTCGGGTTTGAGCCATGCTATCTCAGTGTTAGTTGTATGCTTTGGCAGAAATACTTCAGAAGCAACATTGTATCTTCTCTGGGCATCTCTTCAGGAGTGTGAGGTGTCTGTCTGCCCCATCACCGGTGTTCACTTTCCTTAGTTGGCCGAGGTGGTATCTGCCACAGGTCTACTGTGAAGTCCCTGTTCTTCCTTTGTCATGATCGGTACCTGTTGAGAGACTCCAAAGCTGCCTGCATGGCCTGTTTCACATCCTACTCTCCCCCTCCAGACTCTGCTTCCTCTGGTAGTTTTCTCCTGAATTAGTCATTACTCAAATGATTGCCAAATGAGAGTTGTTCTAATTATACAAGGAGACTTCAAAAAATATGTTGGGAGGGTGTATGGGGGTGCAGCGTAAGATGCATCCCTCTGTGAGGCAGAACCACATATGAAGGTTCTGGGTTCATGTCCTGAGTCCTCCTTGGTATACCATTCCTGGCTCCAACATTTACTGATTCTTTTACCATTGTACCACTGAGGAAGCTAAGGCTTAGACCTTATTTACAGATACGTGGTATTAAACAGTGCTTGTAAGAGGACCAGCCTATAAAAGGCTAACGTAGTGCACAGTAATATGTTAGTGAGCGTTACTTATTCCAGCCCATAAAAACTTACATTTTAATATTCTTGCGCAAGTGAAATTGCTTAACCAGAACTCTCGGAATAGTTTTTACCTTGTTAAAGCAAATTAAGTTTGCGTGTATGGTAGGGAAGATAGAAAAGGACCAGACAGGTGTTTTCCACACGTGGACTTTCCCTTCCCGGCTTTGAGAGCGATCTCAGTGGTAGGAAGCCAGAGTCACTCAGAGTGCACGTTTACTCTCAAGCTGCAGCGAGCCATCCAGGAGCACCCTGTCGTCCTGCTGCCTAGCCACCGAAGCTACATCGACTTCCTGATGTTGTCCTTTCTCTTGTACAACTACGATCTGCCTGTGCCCGTCATAGCGGCAGGAACAGGTAGGTGTCGTCTTTCTACTTTCTTCTAACTGTGAAAACTAGCATGTTCACTGGAATGACCTTGATGCCGCCCCAGCATTTGAAGATGACAGAAACAGCCTTTTCCCCCTCCCCCCTCAGTGTTAACAATTTGGGCCGAGTCCTGCGGGGCCAGGCTTTCCTTTGCCTGACAGCGTATACGGACCAGGTCTCTCTGGCCTGGGTTTGAAAATGAGACCATGCTCACTGTACCTGTTACACACTGCCTGTATTTTGCTTTTTTATTTGCTAATGTATCAATGGCTTATCTCTCTGACTCAGTAAGTAGAAATAACATTTTTTAAAATATATTTTTAACTGTGGTAAAATATACATAACATAAATGCACTACCTTCACCATCTTTAGAAATACCGTTCCATTGGGGAGCAGGTGCATGATGTTTAAGGCACTAGACTCCGACATGCTTGACCGTGACTCGAGTCCCAGACCTGATGACTTGCTTTCTCACTTTCCATCTCTCTCACGGAGTCAAAATAATCATAATAGTAATTAATAAAATTAAATAAATAATTTTTTAAAAACAAAGAAAGAAATACCGTGCAGTAGCGTACACACAGTCACCCTCACTACCATCCACAGAGCCCTTCATCTTGCAGAGCTGGAGCTCTGTGCCCGTTGTAAAGTGTAGCTGCCCATTCTACCATGCTCTCAGCCCAGGGCAACCACCCGTCAGCACTGGAATCGGACAGCGTTTGTCCTTCGGGACTGTCACATCTCCATACAGTGCCCTCACCGTCCATCTGTGCGTAGCAGGTCAGAATTTCCTTCCATTCCAAGGGTGAGGAGCATTCTGCTGTGTTGGTGTGCCACGTTGACGTGCCACGTTATTTTCATCCATCAGTGAACACTGGGCTTGCCTCCCGCTTTCTACTGTTGTGAATAGCACTGCGATGGACATGGGGACCCACGTAGCTCTTCACGTCCCTGCTTCCAGTTTTTAGGTCTGTCCCAGAAACAGTGCTGGCTCACATGGTGACTCTCTTTCATTTTTGATGAACCAGCATGCTGTTTTCCACATTTCCACCAACGGTACACAAGCATTCACGTTTTTTCTTTTTCTTTTTCTTTTTTTTTTTTGGAGAGGTTTTTGCTATAGGGCACGTGCGCTCGCCAGACAGACAGAGAGAGACAGAGAGATAGAAAGCGAGAAATCACCCCCCAGGATGGATGGCCACGCCGCAATCCCTTCTCCTCCATTCTCCTCTCAGGATCTTGGGCACGCATGCACACGCGCCCGGCATGAGTTTAAACCACCGGGTCAGGGACGCGAACCGAGGTCGACTACGTGGGAGTCCAGCGACATGGCCATTACGCTAACTGCTGGCCCCAAGCATCCATATTTCTTCACATCTTTGCCAACATATTATTTTCCAGAGTTGTTTTGTTTTGTTTTGTAATGACCATTCTAATGGGTATGACATGGTATCCCATTGTAGTTTTGGTTTGCATTTCCCTAATGATTAGTGACATTAGGAGGCAGCTTTTTGGGTGCTTCTTGTCCATTGTTTAGGTTGTCTTGGTTACTGATTTATAGGAGTTCCTTATATATTTGGATAGTTTCTCTTTATGGAATACATGATTTGCAAACATTGCTTCCCGTTCTTTTGAGTTGGTTACCTTTCACTCTGTAAATTGTATCCTTTCTTGCACAGAAGTTTTTCTTTTTTTTTTTTAAGGTTATTTTTTGGTCATAGGGCATATGTACTCACTAGAGACATAGAAAGAGACAGAGAGAGAAAGTGAGAAATCACCCTCCAGAGGGTGGTGATTGCCGCACCACAATCCTTTCTCCTCCAGTCTCCTGGGATTTTGAGCATGTGTGCACAAATGCCTGCCGTGAGATTCAAGCCTTCAGGTCCAGGACTTGAACCATGGTTGGCCATGTGGTAGTCCAGTGCCTGCTAGCCTGGATGTTTTTCATTTTGATGTAGTTTAGTTTACCTGTTTTTTTTTTTTCTTCCTCCCTTTGTTCTCTGTGCTTTTCGTGCCATATCTAATAAAGCATTGTCTTTTACAGTATCATGAAGTTTTCTCTCAAGATTTCTATAGTTTTTGGACCAGCAGCTGGCATAGTGGCTATGTCACTGGACTCCCACATGGGCGATTACAGTTCAAGTCCTGGACCCTGTGGCTTCAAAATCACATTGGATGCATGTGCATACATGCCCAGAATCCTGGGAAGAGAATGGAGAAGGGATTGCAGCATGGCCATATCCCCCCTGGGGGGGTGGTTTCTCGCTTTATATCTCTCTGTCTCTCCGACGAGCGCACAGACCCTATAATAAAAATCTCTCTAAAAAAAAAGAAGAAAAAGAAAAAAAAAGATTTTTATAGTTTTAGGTCTCACATTTAGATCTTGACCCTTCGAGTTAGCGTTTGGGTATGGCCTGAGGGGTGGCCCCGACGTCGTGTCTGTCGTTGCTTTAACAGCTGTATGACACTTGGTGTGACCACATCACGGTGCAGCAGCTTAGCTGTTACCATCAGTGCTGCAATATATTTTTATAGCACAGTTTTTATTTCTGCAGTTTGGGTTCCTAAAAGTAGGGTTGCTAAGGCAAATAATTTGTTTCTCCATTTGCTTTCAAGGCAGCCAGGAAAACTAGGATTCAAATGTACACCTTTGCTTATAACTAGTAAAAACTGCCAGGACCTTAAACAATGTAAAACCATTTTTATCTTTTATTTGCCAGCCTTTGGCCTGGTGGTTAAGGTAGTTGGCTCCCACATGACCAACCGTACAGTTCAAGTCCCTTTCTTGGCAGCTTGAAAATATGCCAGGCACATGTGTGTGTATGCTTAAGATCCCAAAAAGAGGGAGAAATGGAGGGGAAGGGATGGTGGCACGATTGTCCCCCACAAGAGGGGCCGTGCTCCCACACACTCACTCTCTCCTCTCTCGCCAGTGAGTGCGCACACCGTCTGGCAAATTTTTTTTAAAGCCTTTTCATCTCAGTGGACACATGAGAAAGGTGTTTGCAGATTAGAGAAAGTGCAGAGAAGGACCGCCGTGGACCTGCGGGTACAGCTCTTCCTCCCCTCCCAGCCCTGCTGTGGTGAATCTGCTTTACTAAAAGCAGGTTATTTTTCCTGATGGTAGAAAGGTGAGAGTTGGTGTAGCCTGGCTGTCCAGCGCACAGAGGACCTATATTGACCTGTCTTCAATTCAGAAGCAGGGCTAAGTAATGAGATTGACGTCACAACATCGCTAAGCTGTCACCTTGCCCTCCTGCTGGCCTGGTCTCTACCTGGCCAGGTTTGCGCAGTGTGCACAGAGTGACTCAGGGCGACTTCTCAGGGAGCACCTGGCCACAGGGTCCTCCTCCATGATGCTATTAAATGTCTCTTAACGCATTTTTTAATTTCAGAAAGTTTTTTGGTTTTTTTTGAGAGGTCTTTGCTATATGGCACGTGCACTTGTCAGAAAGACAAAGAGAGACAGAGAGATAGAAAGCAAGAAGTCACCCCCCAGGGGGGACGGCCACGCCGCAATCCTTTTTCCTCCATTCTCCTCTTGGGATCTTGGGCACTCACACACATGTGTCTGGCGTGAGTTTAAGCCACCGGGTCCAGGACTCGAACCATGGTCGACTGCATGGGAGTTCAGCGATATAGCCATTACGCTAACTGCTGATCCCCAGAAAGTATCATTTTTAATACCATAGGGAATCTTACATCGATCAAGTCTTTTTCAGTAGTATTTGAATTAGATTGTAGAAAATATCAAGATCTGCAAATAAATATTTACCCGTCCTTTGTTTCCTAGACTTCCTGGGAATGAAGATGGTTGGCGAGCTGCTACGGATGTCGGGTGCCTTTTTCATGCGGCGCACCTTTGGTGGCAACAAACTCTACTGGGCTGTGTTCTCTGAATATGTGCGAACCATGCTGCGGGTAAATGCAGATAACTACCAGGCACTGTCGAGCTGTGTTTTCTTTTCACTGATGTTTGCTTATTTACATCCTTGACTTCCGAATGGGCCACTTAGCTGTGCTTTTCTCCCTTAAGGAATGTTCATAACCTCAGCGGCCTGTTTAATCTGTGTGACTCTTGTTTAAGTTTCACTGTAAGTGGTGTTTGTTCAGAGGCTGGGAGGGAGCTTGGGAAAAGGAAACAAAAGAAGCGTGTGTCATTTTCAGGGTAGGCCATGGGTTTTGTCTTTTGTTTTGTTTGTGTTTTCTCTTTAAAGAACGGTTATGCTCCTGTTGAATTTTTCCTCGAGGGGACAAGAAGTCGCTCTGCCAAAACATTGACTCCTAAATTTGGTAGGTCCCCTAGGGTTAGAAGGAAACACACAAGCCCAAATGCTTTAATGTGGTGTTTTTTTTGTAACCACTAAACAGAACTGGATACCTTTTTGGTTACAAGATATTCTTTTCCCTTCCCCCCCCCCAAAAAAAACTTCTTAGAGAGGGAAAGTGAGAAATCAGGCCCAGAGTCTAGAGGAGAATGGAAAAAGGAGAGGGGGGTGGGGGGCAGTGGCCATGCTACCGCTCTCCTCTTGGGACATTGGGCATACACACAAACATGCCTGGCATGATTTCTAGGCTACTGGGCCTGGGACTCAAACCTCAGAGTCAGCCATGTGGGATCCCGTGCCTTAACTGCCACGCCACCTCCTAGCCCCGAAACTAGAACTACTTCTTTACTCTTAGTGTCTTCCTATTTCTGTGCCCGTGTCTGCTCTGTTGTTTAATGTGTACGATAAACACTTCTCCCTGTGTTTTCAGGTCTTCTAAACATTGTGATGGAACCATTTTTTAAAAGAGAAGTTTTCGATACCTACCTTGTCCCAATTAGCATCAGTTATGATAAGATATTGGAAGAAACTCTTTATGTGTATGAGCTCCTAGGGGTTCCTAAGCCCAGAGAATCTACAACTGTACGTAAAGGGTAGCCAAGCATGATGTGATTTGAATTTGGAGAGCGTGTGGACTTACAGATGAGCTGACCGCACCGCTTACGTCCTTCTCTTCTTTCCTCTGCTGTGATGCTGCCAGGGCTTGTTAAAAGCCAGGAGGATTCTCTCTGAAAATTTTGGAAACATCCACGTATACTTCGGAGACCCTGTGTCCCTTCGCTCTCTGGCCGCTGGGAGGATGAGTCGGAGCCCATACCACTTGGTCCCAAGGTACACAGCCTGTGTTTTAATAACCTACGTAGACATACGCATTAGAATCTGGTGAGTTTTGATTTTTGAGCAGACCACTTCTGAGATAGAAACTTGGTTTCCCTCAGATCAGAGCACATTTTCAGGGAAGCTGTATCATTCCATTTTCATCAGTGGAAACTTCCATTAAAAAAGAATTACATGTTTGCCAAAAAACAATGTTTCATTTAGCTGCAAGATGTATGTGTCAAGCATGCTGCATCCCACAGCAGTCGTTGTGACTCAGAAGTGGGAAGAAATGGTGCGTGCGCAGAGCTGTCGAGCACTGTGGGGGGCTAGCCCAGGTTGCTGCTGGGAATTAGCTCTGATTCTAAAAAGGACTGCCTGGTAATAATGAATGGAGAGAGTCCTGTCCTCGAGGTTACAACTTTATGGCATCTTTGCTGGTTCACGGCACAGGCTTCTATCTTTTTGGTTTGTTTTCAATTTGCCAGAGGGCTTGTGCACTTGCTGGAGAAAGACAGGGAGGGAGGGAAATGCCCCCATTGGGCGCGGTCATGAAGTCTCTTCATATTGCCTTCCTGTCGGGATTCTGGGTGTGCACATGCTCCAGGAGTGTTTCCTAAGTCACCAGCCTGGTCCAGGGCTCGAACTACACATTTGACCATGTGAGATCCAGCTGCTTTAACCATCAGGCCATGGACTGGCCCGGTGTGTTTTCTGATTTAGAGAAATACACTTGGGAGTAGGGAGCCTCCGTCTGCTCAGCAGGGCCTTCCATGACTGCACTGTGACATACTTTACCTGTAGCCTGAGCAGTTCCCCACGGCTGTGTTCCTCGCCAGCAGCTGCTGTGTCATCTTAGAGGCAGGCGTTGGTGTTCTGCTGCCACAGGCCTTCTCCTGTAGCTCTCCAGCTGGCTGGCAAGCTGTTTTCTAGGCCCCCCACGGTGACGGGGAGGGAGGGAAGTGCCCCCATTGGGCACGGTTTCCGTTGAAGCGATCTCATCACATGGCTACCTCTAGGTCCTGTGCGTGTTCCTGCTCTGCCAGCTCTGTGTAGGCCTTAGTGTGTGTTCCAGACTGTGGAGAGCTGTGTGCAAGGGAACCTCAGCTGAGGATCATGCTAGTACTTGCAGGGGCTCTGAGGCGTGTTAGACGGGGCAGCTAGCAGGCCAGCCGGACGACTTAGGCAGTACAGGTGCACTCACTCACTGTGTGATCTGATCAGCGTTCTCCAGTGTCCACAGACTGGATTCTGAGAAGGCCATAATTCAGGGCTTGGAGGATGGGCATCATCAAGGATTGAGACAAGAGACGAGGACAAGGTTAAAGCAGGGGCTAAAGCTCTGTTGGAGCAGAAGCCCAGCTGCACCAGAGCAGAGCCCGCTTATTCCAAATTCAGTCAGATGAGCAGTGGGCGCGTTAGCTGTACAGAGCGGTGTGCAGTGTACCTGACACTCTTTGTAGGATGGACTCTCAGTACGAGAGCGATAGCTGTCATTAAGTTAGTACTTAGACAATCTCTTGGTTTGTGCAATGTCACCCAACATCTTGAGACACAGCCGTGCCTGGAGCTCCGTCCGGTTGACTGTGCAGTCCTCGCAGCATTCTGTCTGTCCAGGAATAGGGTTACTTTCAATTCCCTCCCGCATTCTTCCCTCTGACTATCTCTCAGGCCTGGGCTGGTTTCTGTCTCCAAAATAGGGGAGAGGCTTAAAAGTGACATGATCTGTTTATTAAGCAACAGAATTTTGTGCCTGGAATCAGAAAAGTAAGACACTGTCCCCTTGAGTGTTTCTGTCATCTCTCAAGAGCACCCCCTAGAGGTGTATGGGCAGATCACATTGTAGCGCAGTGAAGGGGTGCCCCTGGTTTGTGCCCTGAGATGATTGGTAGAAAGTACCAGGAGCCTCCCAGAGGGTCGGTCACCTCCCAGTCCCCTTACCACTCCTGTCTGTCCAGGTGGCAGAGCTGTGACTTGTGGCTCTGTCCTCTTCCTTTTAGGTATATTCCGCAGAGACAGTCCGAGGACATGCATGCGTTTGTCACTGAAGTCGCCTACAAAATGCAGCTGCTGCAAATTCAAAACTTGGTTCTGAGCCCGTGGGCCCTAACAGTCACTGTTCTGCTTCAGAACCGGCCATCCATGGACTTGGACGCCCTGGTAGAGAAGACGTTATGGCTGAAAGGCTTAACCCAGGCATTCGGAGGGTTTCTCGTCTGGCCTGGTACGTAGGACATTTGTGGTGAGAATGCTCGCTTTACGGCTGCCTTAATTTGGAAAAGTAGCCTAGACAGGAAAAAGTCTCATGTGGGAAACAGAAACGACTGCCCAGGGAAGGGAAAGAACACCTGATATGTTTTTACCCCTGCAGGGTATCGAACACGGCATGTTGGTTATTTGAAAACAATTGTTTGCATCATTCTCCGAGGACTCGGTGTCTTGGCGGCATCTAGAATACTGTCTCCTTGGTGCCTAGCAGAGTGGAGGCTCCAGACACAAGTCCGTTTGTATTCTCGAGCCCCTCCCTGTACACCGTCCCTCCGTAAAGCTGCTCTGTTTTCAACCCATTTGCTTCACTGGCTTGTGAGGATTAAAGAGCTGAGCTCAGGTCTTCGTGCAGTTATCTGACGATAACAAGTTGGCGAAAACCTCTTTGGAGTCACTAATGCTGTGCTGGGAGCCGCAGAGTGTGTGACAGTCGTGTCCCCCTCGTCTGCAGGGTGCACTCTGCGACCCCAGCAGACGCCTGAGGTCACAGATAGCAGTGACCTCTGTCGGCCATGTCTGTTCTCCCCTTGCGGGCCACACCTGACGTCAGGGTGAGTGAGATGTAGCCCCTGTGGGGGAGCGCAAGGAGGCAGTGGGAGCAGAGGCCCGCAGGCCGCATGCCCAGGATCTGAACTGGAGTCCGTAGGTTACGGGGCCATCACGGACTTGGGCAGGCAGGAGTGACTGGTGGCCTTTAGGGAACAGCCAGCATCAGTGTGAGGATGAACTGCCAGGGAGGAGACAGCAAATCGGAGACGGGTGAGCAGCTGCGCTGCCTCCGTAAGAGATCGAGACGCCAGTGCCACGCAGTGGTCATGCTCGGGCATGGCTGGGGGACGTTGAATAGGAATCGCCGAGAGAAGAGCCAGGCAGCCCACGTCCGTCACCGCCAGGCAGAACAAGAGCTTCGACCTGGGCGGGCTGGCGGGCAGCAAAGGGGTGCTGACTGGGTGCCAGGGGAGCAAGCGCGGCTGTCCTGAGAGGGCCAGCACCAGCATCACCGTTCGCCAGCACCCGGGAGAGCAGGCTCCCAGCTTCCTGCAGCGCTCTGCTTTCCCAGCTCAGTTATGCACGTGACTCATCCAGGGCTGACACTGTCTGTCCAGCTGCCACGACAACTCCTGTCGTTTCAGAAGGAGAGTTGGTTGGAACCTAAGTGGCAGTGAAAGGGTGGGTGATTAGGTATAATTCCCGATTCAGTACATGTGACATATATTCAGTTCCTTTCCCTTTTTACTCACGTTACTCCACGTTCCTAAGCTTTCTCTCCCTTTGAGCTTCTCGTGATCATGCCTCGTAATATGCCATTACCTGAGCAAGCGGAGACAAGGCGGTGTAGTTCAGCGTGGACGTGAAGGAGCCCGGGGGCAACCACACCGACTTGCCCCTTCCAGGAAGCCCCAGAACTTGCTGCCTGACTGGGGCAGCACAGTGCCCCATAGGCCGTCAGCCAGCTCTGGCTCAGGCTGGAGTGCAGGGTTTCCCATGCTGAGGACGTTCGTTAACACTGCCATTGTCTCCATCATGCTCTGTAGCTCGGCCATCTCCAGGCCCCTGTGGGCCGGGACAAGCTGAGGAGCTGTTAAGGCCTGCCTCTCCGGTTTCCCAGGATGTGGAGAAAGCACGCAATCTCCGCGCTCCCCTGCGTTCATGAAGGCCTGACACTTGTACCATGCCCTCTGGGTGACCCGCAGCCCACCTGCAAAGTGATGCTGTTGTCAGCCTGGGCCCGTGTGCACCGTGTCTTCACGTCCTCCTAGGCGGTCACAGGCTTTCTTTAGTATCGTTAAATTCATGTGCGTGTGATTTCCGGTCACGTTACGTGGTCCCCCTTCATTCCTAAGGCAGACCAAGGAAGTGTTGATTTTCAGGGTGGACATGGTGTGCGTTTCAGAATGGCGCCACATTTGCAGTAAAAAGCCAGTGTGTTGTGCGTCCTCAGGGACAGATCCAATATGTGGAATAGTCCTTTTAGGCGCCAGTGGGGTGGCGCGCGCCCAGGTTGGATTCCCATCCCACCCTAAAAGGCTGGGCATGGTAGTACACACCTGTAACCCCTGGTACAGGAGACGCTGGCATAGTCCGCCCCACCTGGAACAGCACGCACACACACACACCCCTTCATGTTTGGTATCATGACCTTAATTGGTAGAGACTAAACCCTGTGCCTGGCCCTGGAAGATAGTGCCTGTCAGGTTATTGGTGCTGATGCTGCCAGGCCGAGGCTCCCACAGTAACCAACTTGGCCTGACGGAGTCGTATTTGCATGCAGATAATGAGCCCCCCGAGGAAGTGGTGCAGTCTGGCATCCTTCTGCATTCCAACATCGCCAGCCTCGTCCGGGACCAGGTGATCCTGAGAGTGGACTGCGGAGACTCGGAAGTGGTGGACGGGCTTATTTTCCAGCACATCACACTCCTCATGTGCTCAGCGTATAGGAACCAGCTGCTCAACGTGTTTGTCCGCCCCTCCTTAGTAGCTGTGGCACTGCAGATGACACCTGGGCTCAGGAAAGGTAACCTCAGGAAGGTGCTCTCGAGTTTGAGAAGAGGCTGCATGGCTCCACATGGGAGCAGCGTTGGAAGCCTCGTCCCTCTCAGCCTCTGTGCACCAACCCCACACACCAGCATGGAGCAGATGCACAGGGTTTGTTCCCTGCGTGTTCACGGCAGTGCTTAGAGGGTTGAAATTGGAAGGACCTAGATGCCATCTCAGCTAAATGTCTCCTGTTACAAATAAGGACGTTAGGCCTGGGAGCTGCGTGCTTGCTCCAAGAAGGACTGGCAAGGAGCGTGGACCCCGTAGCTGACAGTGAAGCTGGGTCCACTGTCATGGCTCCCGCATCAGCAGCGGCAGGGTTGGGATGTGGCCATGTGCTGTCCTGCGTCCTGGCGTACAGCAGCTCAGGGAGGAGAGCGATGCCAAGTTGGACATGGTTCTATGCACAGGAGCCCGTGTCCAGTCCAGGTTCCTGCCAGGTTTCCATTAGAATCTCCCCCACAGGGTCTTGTTCAGTTGACCCCAGGTGCGGGCCAGGTGGTGTTCTATTTGGTTTTTGTTTTTCAGAGCTCCACGGGGATTCTAAGGACAGGTATAGAGACACAGGTAGCAGGGACTGCGGGTGCAGAGGGAAGTTAAGAAATCCATTTCTGGGGCCAGCAGTTGGCGTAATGGCTATGTCGCTGGACTCCCATGTAGCCAACCACGGTTCAAGTCCTGGACCCGGTGGCTTAAACTCACGAGGCACGTGTGCGTGCGTGTCCAAGATCCCGTGAGGAGAATGGAGGAGAAGGGATTGTGGTGTGGCCATCCCCCCGGGGGGTGATTTCTCGCTTTCTGTCTCTCTGTCTTTCTGGCTAGCGCATGTGCCTTATAGCAAAAGCCTCTCAAAAAATAAAAACAGTAATTTGCTCTGTCGGTAAAATTGTGGGTTGATTTTTAACTTTTTCTAGAGGGATTTATTCTTGTTCCCATTAGAAGAATGAAAAGATGCCTTTGAAATGCTACATTTGGGGGCATCGTGGACTTCTTGGTACTCCCTGGGAGTTTAAAGCATTGGGCCAGCTGGTGACGTGGTTAAGGCAGCTTGATCCCCCATAACCAGCTGTCTGGTTTGAGTCCCAGGCCTGGCAGCTTGAAAAAACACACCAGGTGCATGTGTGCCCCAAATCCCAAGAGGTGGGTAGAGAAAGGATTGCAGTGTGGCCATCCCCCCAGGGTGCTTTGCCCCCCCCTCTCTGGTTAGCACATGTACCCAATAACAGTTAAAAAAAATTCAAACACAACAAAAGAAAAAAATGGCAGTATTGTAATTTTATGAACTGAATTTATTTCCAGAGGATGTCTACAGTTGCTTTCGCTTCCTGCACGATGTTTTTTCAGACGAGTTCATCTTCCTTCCAGGAAACACTCTGAAGGTAAGTCCTCACCTCAGAGAGAAGTGTGTGTGTGTGGAGTTCTGCAGGTGCCTCACCTGTGTTCGCAGCTGGGTCTCAGGCATGTCACCCTTTCCTTCAGGGCAAGTGGGCAGACTCAGAGTAGCCGGGGTACCCACAGCTCCACAGACTCTGGTTTGATTCTTGGTCAAGCCCCATCGGGAACGTGGGGAGGGCTGGCTCTGGTGGGGGGGACTAAGGCATCTGAGTTCCCATTATGGGGGGACTAAGGCATCTGGGTTCTCGCTGGAGGGGACTAAGGCATCTGGGTTCTCGCTGTGGGTGACTAAGGCATCTGAGTTCCCACTATGGGGGGACTAAGGCGTCTGGGTTCTCACTGGTGGGGGGACTAAGGCGTCTGGGTTCCCACTGTGGGGGGACTAAGGCATCTGGGTTCTCGCTGTGGGGGACTAAGGCGTCTGGTTTCCCACGTGGTCGGCATGCCACAGTCCGAGTCCCAGACCCAGAAACCAGTAAACATTCCGAGGCGTGCACGTGCCCAGAATCCCGACAGGATGGAGAAACGGAGGAAGAGGGATAGGAGCACAACTGTTTCTCATGGGGGTGGTGCGCTCTCTCTCTCTCTCTCTCTCTCTTTGGCAAGCACATGCACCCTCTGGCAAAATTTAAGAAAAGAGTAGATTAGGGATTATTTGGTGAGAGGAAGGGCTTCCTTTAAACCATTAGTACAGCCACCGTCAAGCGCTTTTAATAAACACCTAAAACTCAGCCACCTTTTCCTCTAACCATCTCGCTGGAGTGAGTCAGCCAGGCACTTACTTGGCTTTTGCTTTGGGAGGTGCTCACAGGGTCTTGCCTGTAGTGTAGACAGCTGGGCCAGATGCTGCCTTGTAGTGGTGGAGGGTGCAGAACAGACACAGGTGGGCAGGTTTGTACATGCCGTGCTAAGGACAGGTGTTCTGCAGGGACTCCAGAGGGTTGGAGCATGAGCATGGCCCTAAGTGTTCCTAGGACTGACTGCACGGCCTGCTCAGATGGAAGGGACAGGGCTGTGCCAAGTGGATCCGCAGTTAGGACTCTAAGGCTCGCAGAGTCTTTGTGTGTTTGCTGTGCTTGAGGTTCAACCTTTTGAACGTCAGAACAAATGCTTCTCCACTCCATCTAACAACCAGGGCTGTCAGGGAAGGTGTGGCCTTGCAGGCTCACTCGCCTGAGGGCGTGGCTACCCGTCTGGTCCACCTGAATCACTGGGTACATTGTAATTCCCTCTTCCTTCCAGGACTTCGAAGAAGGCTGTTACCTTCTTTGTAAAAGTGAGACCATACAGGTGACTGCGAGAGACATCCTCATTATTGAGAAGGGAAACACCGTGTTAGAGTTTTTAGTAAGACTCTTTAACCCTTTCGTGGAGTGTTACCAGGTATGTAACTTGGACAAGTTTCCCTCCCACCCTCTGTCTCAGATGCAGCTGGGCTTGCCCCCTGTCCATAGGGCAAGCACCTTCCCCAGGTCAGCGGTAGAGCTGGAGGGGTCGAGTAATGTGATGAACCATTTCACGTCTCGGATGAGACTGTCCCTGGCACACAGACGGAGGTTTGGTCCCTCCACACCCCAGAGGATAGCATTTTAGTGATGCCATGAGTGCAGCGTCCCTATAGCCACAGTAACAACCAGCGTTCGTGTTGTACTGTGTCACCAGTCTTTAGTTCACAGCGAAGTGCTTGGTACACAGTGGGCACCGGGTAAACGCCAGGCACGAGCGCTGAAGCCGGTTACTTCTCTTAGGGAATGGTAATGTTGCAAGGGGAGGAAACTGCGTGCAAGAATTTGAATTTGTCAGAGGCCTTGAGAGTGGTTAGAGAGTAGATAAGCTGTATGTGTGTTTATGTGTGTGTGTATACGTGTGTGTGTGTGTGTGTGTGTGTGTGTGTGTGTGTCAGAGGGAGAAGGGAGTCTGAAATCTCAGCCATGGGCCCACGCGTATCTGAGAGAAGAGGCCCGCAGCTGTCAACTGCGCCTGCGTGCCCTGCTCTGCACAGGCACCAGAACCAGCTTCCCGGCAGAAAGATGCTCGTGAGCGGTGAAATAGCCCACGCCGGCCTCCTCACACAAAGTGACGCACTTAGTAGGCACTTGGTAATTGTTAGTTCTACCTTTGATCACCTCTCTGCAGTGTAGTCATCAAGTAGTTTAGGGCCTCGCACATTGTTAGATATATTTAAAGAAAAAAGGTTAGAAAAATCTGGCTCCTCTCTTTCTGCATTAGGTGAGATAGCAAACTGATGGTAATTGGCTTGCAACTCATTAAAATGAGAACGCATTCTTTAAGAAACACTCATATTATTTTAAATCTCTTTTTCTCCAACTATAAAAAATTAAGTATAAAGCGATGTCCTAAAAATTGCTCAGCTTTGGGCCAGCCTGTGGCGTGGTGGTCAAGGTGGCTGGAGTCCATACAGCTGACTGAGTAGTTTGAGTCCCAGATCCAGCAGCTTGAAAAACATGCCAGGCATGTGTGCGTGCATGCCCAAAATTCTGAGAGGAGAAGGGGTTGTGGCATGGCCATCCTTACTCAGGGGTGCTTTTTCCCCCTCTCTCTGTCTCTGGCAAGCATACACCCTGTAGCCAAAAAAGAAAGCTTCACTTTTCTCTGCTTAGACCTCAAAGACCCTTACTCTGTTCTACCGTGCTGTGCCATTCTCCTGAGAGGGGCAGTGTAGGTTACTCACTATGTTGTTGTGTGGCTACCCTTCTGTTCTTCTCATCCTCCCTCTTAAAACCAGATAATTTGCAAATACCTCTTGAGTGAAGAAGAGGACTACTTCACTGAGAAGCAGTACTTGGCTGCAGTCAGAAAGTTCACAAGTCAGCTTCTCGATCAAGGTCAGTCCCATCTGCGGGTGGTGACTTCCAGAACAGCAGCTGTGCACTAACTCCCGCTCCCCTCCTTTCCAGGTGCCTCTCAGTGTTATGATGTGTTATCTTCTGATGTGCAGAAAAATGCCTTAGCAGCTTTTGTGAGGCTTGGTGCAGTACAGAAGAAGAAGGTGTAAGTCTCACGCCGTCCCATAGGTGGGAGGGACAGCAACAGTGAGTGCCATTGAGCACAGGCTCCCTAGAGACGTGGAAATGTGTGATCTCGTAAACGTGGTACTGTATGTGACATTTCCATCCTCTAGTTAAATGGGCGTGACTTACCCTGACCAGGTTATATGGGTAAGACTCAATGAAACTGAAGCAAAAGAAGGAGATACTTTAGACCAATATTTTTGCTTTGACCTGATGTTGAAATTTATGGATATTGTAAAAAAGGGTTTTGGGAGCGTAGTGTACCTATACATACATATACATATGTGCATGTTTAATACACGTATAGACACATACATGTTTGTGTGTATGTGTGGAGGTAGGTAGATACTCTATTTTTCTCCGATACGTATGAGAGTTATATTTACAGTATGCTGTAGTCTGTCAAATATGCAATAGAGTTGTGTCTTAAGAAAAAAAAATAATGGGAACCAGCAGTTAGCGTAATGGCTATGTCGCTGGACTCCCACATAGTCGATCGTGGTTCGCGTCCTGGACCCGGTGGCTTAAAACTCAAGCCAGGCGCGTGTGCGTGCGTGCCCAAGATCCCGAGAGGAGAATGGAGGAGAAGGGATTGCGGCATGACCATCCCCCTGGGGGGTGATTTCTCGCTTTCTGTCTCTATGTCTCTCTCTGTCTGTCTGGCAAGCGCACGTGCCCTATAGCAAAAATCTCTCCAAAAAAAAAAAAAGAAAGAAAAAAAATAATGTATTAGGTTGTCGGAAAAGTCATGATGTTTTTTTTTTTTATTACATTTAATCACATAATATCTTTACAGCATATTACATTTCTTTTTCCAGCACAGTTACCGTGCGATAGGTAGATACTGTTCGAGTAAGTGATTTTAACCATGATCAGCTTCATATGTGAACTCTTGGTCATGTCTCTTGAGTGGCCCAAAGAAGGAAGCACCGAGTCAGGAGGAGGTGGCCTGAGCAAGAGGCCTTCTACTGTGAGATGGGCCTTACGGAAGACTGCTTAAAAGTGGTCACACACACACACGCACACACACACACAAAATCAGGAACAAACTTTAATGAGCAGGGTTGCCTTTTCCCCTACTTAATATGGTGACAAAGTTTGTTCTTTTCTCCTAGAAATAATGACTGTATATTTAATGTGAATGAACCTGCCACAACTAAATTAGAAGAAATGCTTGGTAAGTGCAGTGCAATAAAATACAAGACCTGTGTCCTTCAGTGGAGACCTGTGTCCTTCAGTGGAGACCTGTGTCCTTCAGCAGTACCTCACCAGCAGTGTTTGGTGCCTATTCTTAATGCAGTGCACTGGTCGGACCTGTGTGAAAGAGCCTTATATGGTGCTGGCCGGGACTAGGGGAGAGGCAGGATGTGGGCCTGAGTGGGAGGGACAGGTAGAAGTGTAATGGGACAGTGTTGTACATAGGACAGTGGCAGTACTAGACTTTGAACAAGAAAATGTGTAAGTTGAAAGCTCAGCCTTCCATTCACATCCTGTCTGAAACCTCAGAATACGAGAGGTCTTCAAAAACCCATAGAAAAAGTGTCTTATGAAAAATCTGCATGGATTTCAAATGTTTTGCACCAAAATTAACTTTTGAGGCCAGCAGAGGATATAATGGTTATGTTGCTGGACTCCCAGGTAGTCGACCACAGAGTGCTGGACCTGGTGGCTTCAAACTCACATTGTCTGTGTGTGCTGGCATGCCCAAGATCCCAGGGAGAGAATGGAGCAAAAGGAATTGCAGTGTGGCCATCACTCTGGGAGAGTTATTTCTCACTTTCTGTGCCTCTCTGCCAAGTACACACACCCTATAGCAAAAATCTCTCTCAAAGAAAAATAATACTCAATACTTTTAATCCCATTTTTCTGTAAACTTTTTGAAATCATCTTGTATATAACCTTGAAACTTGTTTTCAAGTTTAGTAAGGGGGACATGTAGCTAAAACAAACCCAAAGAACCTCATTTTTTATTTAAGAGAAATTTTTGCTATAGGATAGGTGTGTTCACTGGAGAGACAGAAAGACAGAAAGTGAGAAATCACAAACATTCCCCCCCCCCCATCCCCAGGGAGATGACCACACCACAATCCCTTCTCCTCCATTCTCCTCTTGGGATTTTGGGCACACACGCACATGCACCCGTTGTATTTTAAGCTGCTGGGTCCAGGACTCGAAACACAGTCAACCACGTGGGAGTCCAGTGATGTAACCATTACACCATCTGCTGGTCCCAAGAACCTCATTATGAGGGTGACAAAATTAGTTTCTTTTTTTTTTTTTTTTTGAGAGAGTTTTTTTTTTATAGGGCACGTGCTCTCACCAGAAAGGCAGAGACAGAAAGACAGAAAGCGAGAAATCCCCCCCGGGGCCAGGCCACAATCCTTTCTCCATTTTCCTCTCAGGATCTTGGGCACACACGCACACACGCCTGGCGTGAGTTTAAGCCCCTGGGTCCGGGACTCGAACCGCGGTCGACTACATGGGAGTCCAGGGACATAGCCATTATGCTAACCACTGGTCCCCAAAATCAGTTTCTTAACATGGGAAGCTGATGTGATGTGACCAGCGGGCTGCGGCTCCTGGCTCTGCTCTGGCCTGGCCTGTGGGGTGAGCACAGTCCGGTAGGTGCTGGCCAGCCTGTGAGCTCAGCACAGTGTCGCATGTCACTCCTGGGCAGGTGCTGAAGACACAGATGTATAAGGAAGGGTGGAATCAGCATTGCTTTATGAACTATTTTTTTTTTATCTTAGGTTGTAAGAAGCCCGTAGGAAAGCCAGCCATTGCAAAACTTTAATAATCGCCAAACGGTTGTGGACAGTTCAGTCATGTAATTACTGTCATCCAAGGACTCTTATTACAGAAAGCGGAAGTGAAGAAAGAGACGCTTCTCCTTGCACTGCCTAACCAGAGAGCAGTGGGCTCATGGAGAGGAAGAGATGACCAGCGTAAGCCATCAGAGCAATCTCCCTGCCACAGCAGCTAACGGCATTTGTATCCAAGTCTGCGTGTGTTCTAAAATAAACAGTCTTTTGGAAACATGTTTGGAAAAGCCAAGCCCAGCTCCTGTTTCACGAACACTTTTCAACTTACTGTCTGTGTAGAAATGTGTTGACTTCTGAACACTGAAGCCTGTGGCTGTTGAAAGAGAACACTGGGAAAAGTAGATCTTGTGTTTTACTTTAATTAAAGTTTCTTCAAACAAGTACAGGTTTGACAGAGTTAAATGAACTTACTTTACATTTTGCCACCTAAAGACCTTAATGAACAAAAGTAAATTAATCCAAGTACATGCAGCAGAGTCTGTGTGATGCGCCGATACTGCTTACGAAGGCACAGGAAGGGGGTTGAAGTGAGTCGGTGGACACCAGAGCTCTGTGCTTTCAGCCACCTCTGAGAGCAACACGTGAGCTCAGAGCTGGACTGTGTGGGGAGCAGGGTAAGGGACGGCGGGTGGGATGCATGGAAGAAACACCACCACAGTGCCCTGGGGTGGGTTCTGGAGGACGTGAACGGAGAGAGGATGGCTGGAACAGGGACCGTGGACAGCGCCCTCGAAAGAACATCTGTCTAGTGTTGCTGCAGTAGTCAGCCCAGGCCACCGAAGCCAGGAACCATGACTGCAGAGTGGAAGCCCGGACGTTTGTCTTCTCACGGTTCTAGGGGCTAAAATTCCAGGACCAGGGCATGGGCAGAGCCTCTTCTTAGGCTACAGGTGGTTCTCATCAGGCCATGTGCCCACGGCGACCTCTTTTTGTGCTCGTGGAGAGCAAGAAGGCTCTCATGTCTCGTGAGGACACTCACCCCTCATGATTCATCCGCCTTAACCCTCCCAAGACTGCATTTTAGACACAGGCACATCAGGGTTCAGGGCTTGAACGTGTGAACTAGAGGAGAGGGTACGATTCGGTGCACTGCAGCAAGGTCAGTCATAGGTGGTCAGAGACGAGTCCCTATTTGTATTAAGATCTAAGTGCTGTGGACGTTCTGAGGCGCTTCTCAGGTCCTGGAGTTCCTGTACCCAGCTTCCTGGTGCGCACTTGTCCCCCCAGGGCCGGGCTGCTGGGCTCCTTGCTGAGATCGCAGGGCCATCCCACAGCCACTCGGCCCCTGCAGGCTGCACTTTGCCGGCGTGGGAGCCGGGGAGGGGTCCTGTGCTGAGGCTGACCGAGGACTCGGGAGTCGGCTGAGTGACACTCCTGCTGAGGGTTCACGGCACGCCAGCGGGACCTGGACCCGGAGCTGCTGTCCTCCAGCCCAGACAGTGAGTCCAGGGCAGGTGGGAAACCAACCCTGGCCAGTTCTTGCTGTGCAGGTGTACGTTAGGGAGATGTTTACATACCCAGCTTGGCTACCGTTTTTCTGTTCCATGACATCCATGTGATGCGTGCACGTGTCGAGGAAGACTGGGTAAAATGGCTTTTTTACTTTCAGACCTGTTGGTACCATGTCAGGTTTGGACAAACTGTGGAGTTTTGGGTCCAAGTGGCTAGATTTACCTCCCGGCCAGCTCTGATGTTATCGCCAGGCAAGCAAGCAAACTGTGTGTGTGTGAGGAGGGGGTAGTACAGCCAGTCACGTGCGGGTTTGTGGCATGTGCAGCTCTAGGAGGTGGCAGGGCGTGGTGGCAGGGCGTGGTGGCAGGGCGTGGTGGCAGGCGGTGGTGGCAGGGCGGGGTGGCAGGGCGGGGTGGCAGGGCGTGGTGGCAGGGCGTGGTGGCAGGCGGTGGTGGCAGGGCGGGGTGGCAGGGCGGGGTGGCAGGGCGTGGTGGCAGGGCGTGGTGGCAGGGCGTGTTCGTTCTCTCCATCGGGGTGGCAGTGCGTGGTGGCAGGGCGTGGTGGCAGGGCGTGTTGGCAGGGCGTGGTGGCAGGGCGTGTTCGTTCTCTCCATCGCCTTTGCTAAGACACTCAAGGGAAGCCGCAGTCTCACTGAAGGGTAGAATAGTGCCGTGCAGGTAGGGCTTTACAATGCATGGCCATCCTCCAGCCCACACCTGCCCCCGCACACGCCCACAGCTGTAACCACAGTGCTGCCCGTGCCTGGATGGTGTGCTCAGGTCTGGGGCAGCAGCCCCAGCAAGGAGAGACGCCGAGTTCAGTGAGGGCAACAGACCCGGCCGTGCTGCTCCTGACATTTGAAATAGGAATATGCCAACTGTTTTATCCCTGGTGAAGCTGGGGCCCAGGCCAGGCCTAGGCAGAGGCAGGTTTATTTCTCCTTCCCCGGGCCAAGTGCAGACTGGGTGGGAGCAGGGGCAAAGCTCTCAGCCTGCAGGCAGCTGGCCTGCAAGTGGGCTGCCTTCTGATCGTGTCTCAGTATAAGCACTCGAGTACTCCTGTTTGTCCCAGTTGTTGCAATATTTGGAGCAAATGCATACGATAGAAGTCATTTGCTAGCTCTCTCAAATTCAGCTGGCACCATGTGTCCTGCCCTTTATTTTTGAAAGAATTATTTATGTATTTTAATTTGACCAAGGAGCGAGGGAAAGGGAGGGAGCAAGCGGCCAGGTCGGACTAAGTGTGGTTGGCTAGGTGGGCGTCCAGCATCCTTCACCACCGTGCCACCTGCTAGCCCTGTGTCCTGCCCTTTAACGGTGCCAGCAAGGCCTGCCTTCTGCAGTGGTAGGAGACTCACAGGGGCCCTGGGTTCAGAGCCGGGAGTCCAGACGTAAATGGCGGTGCCAGTGATGAGTTGGCATGGAGGACACAGACCCTCGCCACATCAACTGGGTAGGGCAGGTGGGGACACGAGCCCAGCTACTCTGGTACAGCTGGCTAAGACGTTGTGTCCCACCAGCTGGGACCACATGGGATGATCAGGTTTGGTCCCTGGTCCAACCTTCAGACTGGACAGTGTCGTGTACCTAAAATTCTAGTGACAGGGAGGCTGAGCAGTAGCAGGACATGGCGAGACCTATCCCAAATTCAAAACAAAGAAAGGAAATGAAGTGGAAATAGAAGGGAAAAAGATGTAATTAGAGGGGCAAGCCAAGAATCAGAAAATATATAGGAATTCCAGAAAGAGTGACTAGAGAAAACCGAGAGGCATATGCCAGTAAAGCCGGAGAATATTTCTAGTTAGCCACCGTATAAAACAGACACCTGATAGAAGAGATTAGTAAAAATGAAGAAATTGTTCACAAGGCCACTCTTACTAAGAAATGAGTAAGAGCCAGCAGGTGGCATGGGTAAGGCACTGGACTCCCATGTGGTTGGCTGAAGTTTGAGTCCCCCACCTGACAGCTTGAAAATCACACCAGGCACCTGTGCATGCATGCCCCAAATCCTGAGGAGAATGGGGGGAAGGGACTGTGGAGAAGCAATCCCCCTGGCGGGTGATTGCTCAATTTCCCTTTCACTGTCTCTCCCTTGTCTCACCTCTGGTGAATGCACTCACCCTATGACAAAAAGGGAAAAAAAAAAACCTTAAAAAAAAAGAATGAAAATACTTTTATGAGTGTGCAAACAGGTATTGTATGCTGCTTACAGATGTGAAGTGGCACAGCCTTCGTGGTGAACAATGTGGCGATCTTTACATGTAAAGTGCGCAGTTTGGCAATTTCTAGAACTATGCCCTACAGACCCATTCCCACAAGAAAGCAAAGCAATATATACAGGCAACTTTTCCCAGGCTGTTTCCTTGTAACCATGGAAACCGAAGGCAATGTTGTAATTGGGACATGCAAAATTATAATACAGCCATTTGCTGTGGTTGAATACTATTCAATCACAGGAAACGAAACCCAGTGAGGCATAGCTGAAGGTACTGGGGCGCGATGTCCTGAATTAGGTGGATAAAAGCAAATGCAGAGCTGGACTTGTAGCGTGATCTGATTTCTGGGGGGGAACCGAAAACTTACCAGTGGTCCCTCTGGGGAGTGGGACTGGCCAGAGCGTGGTGGGGACCTACCTGACTGTCATGCCCCTCTGGATGATGAAGCTTTCTGAACAAGAAGTGTCACATTTTCCTGTGCTCAGCTGTCCCTCCAAGTGGCTCACTTGGCACCGGCATTCCGCTTCTGTGCCTGAGTTCACGCCGTGTTCTCCCTCCGCCTTGCACACCAAGTGTGCTCTGGGGCCGACCGTCCATGAACACTCCGAACTCCTCAGACCTGCACGCTCTCCCCCTCCTGCTTCCTGCTGTACACCATGGAGCACGTAATTCTGTCATTTCCAGTTGCTGACTTTTCCAGTGTTTTAAAGCACTTTAAGAAGATAAAGCATGCTTAACTGTATGCTGCTCCTACACCCGCAACGTGAGGTGTAACACTCAGTACTTTAAACGTGAGTTTCCTCAGTACCGTTAACTTTCAAAAAGCAGAATCTTCGGCCTGGGCCTATGGCCCAGCGCTTAAGGTGGCTGATCCCACATGGTCCACACAGTTCTGATCCAGCCCTGAGGGCTTGAAAACACACCAAGCGTGCATGAGCTCACCCAAAATCCCAAAAGGAGGGAGAGATGGAGGATTGCAGTGCGACCTTGTCCCACTGTGGGGTGCTTTCTCCCTTTCCTCTTTCTCTCTGGTGAGTGCACAAACCCTTTAGCCAAAAAATAAAATTAAAAAATTGTCATTTAGTTCCTAGGTCTTGCGGCCTATGTTTTCTTTAGGGATATGCAGATGATATAAAATCTGTTCTTTTAAAGAGTGCATTTACTTTTTGCACATCCCAATTTCCCCATTCAAGGGAATCCTAAAAAATTAAGATCTGATTTAGTTGCAATTCTGACAGTAAGCAGAACACTTACTTAAATTAGCTAACGGCTTCCTCTCTGTCCTCCCCACATAATAGAACAAACAAAAAATAAATTGGACTGTTCAGAAAGTATTTCAGTAACATGGCCCTGTGCTTAAGGGAGCCAGATCCTACCCGACTGACTGCATGGCTCCATCACTAGCACTGGCAGCTTGGAAAACACCAGGCATGTGTACACGTGTGCCCCAAATCCTGACAGAATGGAGAGAGGAGGAGGGATGGCACGTTACGCCCCCTTGGGAGGTGCTTTCCTGTTCTTTCTCTCTCTCTGGTGAGTGTATGTGCCCTCTAGCAATCAGAAAAAACAAGAATATTAAACCCTGATTAAGGCAGAGAACACTGTCAGATCAGTCAATTTCATCCAATATAAGAAAATGTTGATGCTTTATTTTATAAAAATTTCAGATTCCCTCACATCACAGCATATCAGTGAGTGGAATGGACAGATTACACGGCAGGTCCTGAGTCCCAGCCCAGACAGCCAGCTGCAGGATTCAAGTGCCCATAATTAGACTGTAGGTAGTACTGAGAGCAAAGGTGCGTCTCCAGCACCTAAGAGAAGTGGGACTGTAATCAAAGAGACTTAATTACGCGGAGTGTCACTTCCCAGTGATAATGGACTCAATCAAATCTGTATTCCAAGCTCAATGGGAGAGCGCCGTTGGGAGGATCCACCCTCAGATGCTACCTCACAGCGAGTGCGGTATACCTGGACACTAACTGCACTCAATTCTCAAATCTCAGGAGACAGAATAGTTAGAAGAGCTCTGACTCGCTTTGAGGAATGCAAATCACTCCGTCTGGGCACAAAGGGACACCACAACACTGGTGGTCTTCAGGGACGGGCCCATGCCAACCCGTCTCCAGAAGTACACTTCCTTCAGCTACAACTCAGAGGGGAGCACACACACTCTGACAGGAGAAGATTCTGCACTGCGGTTTTCAAAGGCAGACTTACATGAGGAAGCAATCGTGAGTGTGCACATTTCAGTCTTAAGGACATGCTGCAGTTGGAAGTCTGACGTCAGAAGTATCACTTCCCAGACCCAGCATCACATATTTACACAATACATTTCATACAATATAATATTAGAAACGAAAGACAGCACAAAATAATCACAATAGTTAACAAAGCTTATCAAAATCGAGTTTCCAGTGATCTTAAGAGAGACAAATTCTAACTGTTCAACTGAGATATCGTTATGGTTACCTAGTTAGTCCTCAAGCTATGTGAAAAACATTAAAGAAAATCTGGAACTCTGATTCATTTTCAGCCTTTTAAATATGCATAGCTAAAAAGAAAAGGGTTAGTCTGGCATATGAGTAATTAAGTCAAATGGTTTCACAACCTGGAGCCACTATTTGGAATCCATTCTAGGTTTTACATAACTTTCACACCCGTGACACCCCCACAAAAGAACCTTCTTAAACATCAGCATTAAAATGGCATTTATGGACAAGAATCACAACTAGTATAGGAGCTAGGGAGAAAAGGAGACCACGGTGGTGGACACAATTTCTCCGCAAAGTATGAGGAATGTTAAGTGATCAGCATACAACTGAATCAACAGTTTACAGTCCTGGGGAAGCTCACATTTCTTTTGTTATTTCTGCTTTTAGTTTTGATTTACTGAACAACCTGATGTAAGCATTATATTCACTTTTAAAGACACACCAAAAAAATAAAACAAGAAAAAAAATGCAGCGTGGAGCCAAGGAGACACAAAAGGCTGTCGTCACTTAGCCCTGAGCACCGTCTTCACCTCTGTTCTCCACTTGGTTACAGAAACAAATCTCTGCTCAGAGTAATCATGCTAGAGAATGCTGGGATCTGCACAGGATTTTTCCTGATTTTCCTTCCACCCAGATCCTTAAATCTAAATAAACATTTCAAAACATTTTTCCACTTGCTTAAAGTCTGAGCCACCATACAACCTACACTGAAGGGGGAAGGAGGCAACTAAACGTTGGCTGCTGCCAGGTCCTTGACATGGCCTGGTTTTTATTTTTTAAAATATGAGGAAGACGAATGCTCCAGCTGCAAATCCACACAAATCAGGAGTATGCTGGGGGAAAAATGACCAAGTCCTTAAGATGTCCAAGTGAATACTCCCATATCAAATATTATGAAGCTACTAATTGGTAACTGAACACCACCAGTCATTCAAATGATGTCGAAAATGTCTCCACGGAAATTTCCTCTCGTATTCCACATGGATGACAGTATCTGAGTCCACACACCAGCTGGTTTCAAGAAAGAATTCTTTTGACTGAAATTTACCCTAAAGCCAATTTTCCCTATTTCTTCCTTTTCCCCAAACTCTTGAACCACATTTTAAGGAGAGACTACATAACACAATGTGGCTTATACAGCACTGTACCTTCAAGAAACCTAACATCTCAGGGACCGGGAAATTTCTCATAGCATAAACTCCGTGCATAAAATATTTAGAAGATATTATTTCTGTTACCTAATATACACTGTAAGTGTGTGCTTTGACTCAAAAGAGTAAGCTAAAATACTGTACTGTGACCATATATTAATTTGGGAATTGGCATAATTTAAAAAAAAAAAACAACATACTTTTTTTAAGAGCTTTTTTGCTGTAGGGCGCATACGTTTGCCAGAGAGAGAGTAAAAGCAATAAATCACCCACCAGGGGGATGGCCACACAATCCCTTCTCCATCCTCCTCTCGGGATTTTGGGCACGCACCCGCACCCAACATGAGTTTTAAGCCACTTGATCCAGGATTCAAATTGCAGTTGACTACATGGGAGTCCAGTTACGCCATCTGCAGGTCCCGTAAAGCATATTGTTTTAATAATTTCAGTATTTTTGTTACTTGGGCTTTACTTATCCTTTTTCCTTTCTCCTCTAGATTTTCTATTTCTAAGAGGGCACTTTTTATTTTTAAGCTGTGTTTGAGCCTACAAAGAAGATGCTAATGCAACTTAGTATAAATATAAATAATATATAAACAGAATGCATATGTACACATAAGATGCAAGCCTCAGACCACCGATGTTGTACTTTCAGGATTCACCCGCATAAGTCTAGATGCATTCCTCAATTCTTGGAGTTGCTTTGCAGGTTTCCCCACACCTTCTTCAAACCTCTTCTCCACCACGGGGAGGACTGTTTCGTATAGAAAGGATGCGTTCTGTCTGATGAAAGCCTTCTTCTCTGGATCCTGCTCACACCGAAGACTGTAATCCACATGCTGAAGGGCAACTAAGATGATCTCCACCAGGCTCTCCAGAAGCACCATGTGCAGCTCTGGAAAGTACAGCTTCAGGGCCTCTTCCAGGAAGCCCATGGTCTGTTTGGTGAAGGCCACCACCGTGTAGCTCAGGTTCACCCAGCAGTCATCCCCCGTGTACTGCTCAAAGTTGCTCACGCCACAACCCTTCATCTCTTCCTTGAGCTTACCCAGGGCCTCCGGAGTCATCAGGTTCATCCTTCTCCACATCTCCTCAGAGTTGCGATGCTTTGTGGCTTCAATGATGATCTCCTTGTAGCTGTGCAAGGCCCCCTGGATGTCCTTCACCAGGAGGGCATGAATGATGAAGGTGAGGTCGAGCCCGATGTCACCCAGCTGCTGACAGTGCTCCTTGGCCACCTTGACACACTCAGCTGCAGTGGAGAGGCTCTCCTTGCTGTCAAACACCTGCTTGCTAAAGGCATCCACGAACATGCCCATGGCTGATCTGGCCCAGACCACAAAGGCAGAGTAGCAGCCACTGTCAGTGCCTGCAAAATCAGTCTCAAATTCTCTAGCAGTCTCAAGAAGGCTGGTGAAAAAGACATGGCACAGCTTATGAATATAGAGTAGAGTGGCTCCTTCGATGCGGAGCTGACGTATGGCAGTGTGCACAGCTGCCGCCCTGTTTCTCAAGAATAGCTCACAGGCCTTTGTGCACTGGCCCAGCCGGATTAGCTGAGAAACTGCCCTGCGAGTAGCCTTGGGACCGCCTCTCAGGGAACGATCCGGGGAGAGTTCGAACACCAGCACCTCAGTGAGCTGTCGAACACGCTCATCCACTTTGGCCCTGAGTTCTTTCACTGGAGGTGGACTGGGCTTATCTTCCAGGTAATGGTTCAGTTTATCCAACAAGTCCACCGCCCCCTCAAAGTCCCTCTGGGCAATACAGACATCCAGGTCTTCAGGTAACTCTTGGATCCATTCCATGGACAGGTCCACCTTCTCCTCCTCTACCTCAGGAGCAGCTGGTTCTTCTTCCTCCTCCTCCTCAAACGGGTTGCTGGCCTTGGGAGTCACGTGGGATGGCCCTCGCGGGGCTGCTGCCTCCTCCTGCTCCCTCCGTCTTTTCTCGCTGAGGGCCCTCTTGGTTTCCTCCAGCACTTCCAGCCACTCTCGTTTGATTTTAGCATTTTCCGCCTGGAAAATACGGCTCTCGGGGAACATGAGCAGTTTGAACATGTCTTTCATGGGCGGGTTGTCCTTGACGTTGACCACTGCCAAGCCGTCTAGGGGGTAGAGGGCGTTGTAGCGATACATCCCTCGCCGATGCGGCAGCCAGGTGGCCACCAGCAAGCAGTCGTTCATGAGGAAGCCATGCACGCGCTGCAGCTGGGCCATGTGGTCAGCCTCATACTCCACCAGGTCCCCGTTGTACACCAGGTACTGGCCCGGAGTCTCCAGCAGGTGCCTGCAGCCTTCCACCTTCTCCAGCAGGGTGGTGAGGGTGCGCTGCTTTCCTTCCTCGCCCGGGCCGGAGCCGTCGCGGGAGGCGCCCCCGGGGGCGGGGAAGAAGCCGGCCTGGCCTCGGAGGTGGTCTCGGGCGCCCGCCCCGGCGCCGGCCTCCTCTGTCCCGGCAGCGCCGGCCCCAGCCCCAGCGGCGGGCAGTGGAGCCAGCGGGATGCTCTCCAGGCTACTCTTCTGCTCGGTCAGCAGGTGGCTGAGCTGGTACATTTCGCTCTCCAGGTAGGAGATCTCGCGGGCCGTCTCTATGAACTGCCGGTAGTTCTGGTAGACGTTGCGCTTGAGGTTCTGCGCCGTC